TACCAACTTGCTTAGTAGCTAACTGAATTGAGAAGATTTATTTTATAAAATATCTGAAGAGATTAGCAAACAGAAAACTAGTAAAAAGCTATAGTAGAAACTGAAATTGTATGAACATTACAAGGGTCTAAGCTAGGTAAATTTATGAAATGAGTATAGACTACTTTAGTAGATATACTTTAAGGTTAATCTGAGCTCTACATATTTATAATATGTTGAGCAATATGTATTCTAAGAGGATCTAAGCTAAAGTTAGTAAATAGATTTGTAACAAGCTAGCTAGCTAAGCAGTTAGGTGTTATAGTGATATTAGTTTGTAATAGTATAAATTAATTGAACAGAGTATTTAAATAGGTAACTCATAGACAAGTAGTATAGTGTAAAACTAATCAGATAGTCTATTATCTGTGTAGCAGACTACTTAAATTAGACAATAACTTAAGTTATATATATAGCTTGTTGTATACACTTCATGTAATTACAAACTGTAGAGAATTACTTTTATGTAATCTCATATATTAAACTAATAAAATTTGCTTAGCTATGTAAGCTATCTTAATAATAAAAAAAATTATATATAATAATTTTTAAACTTTTTTTATATATTAAGACTAGGTATTAACTATTTTTAGCGTAGTATAAATTAGATTAAAAAAGATCTAGAATCTTAATATATAGTTAAATATTGTTATTATTCATTAAATTCTGAAAAATCTATATATACAGATCAAGATTTTTATAAGAAAATAAGCTTTTGCAGCTAATCAAACTTGGATATTCTTGAGATAGCTAAATTAGTTTAAAACAATTAATAAGAAAATTTAATTAGTATACTTATATATTAGATTAATCTTATACTTTTATATAAGCTTTTTTTAAATAAAGTAATAAACAAGATTACTCAAGTTATAAAAATAAAAATAAAAAAAAATTATAAATTAAAAACTAAATAATTTAAATATTCTTTTATAAATTTGTAAATTAATAATAAAAAATACTTAATATATAATAAATTTATTTTTAAAACTTAATAATATTATATATAATCTTAAAAGTATAGTTTAAAATAATATTCATTAGATTATTATTATTAATTAACTTTTTAATTTATTTTATAAAATATAATATATTAAAAGTGATAATACAACTTATAAAATTTAATTAATAAAATAATTGCAATTAATTGCAATTAAAAATTACATTATTCAAGTTTGATATAATAATCTAATATAATCTTAATAAATATATAATCTAATTATATAAAAATTGTATTACCTATAAATTGATACTAGTAGAAAATAAAAATCTAATATGTTAAATAGCACTATTCAAATATTATTTAACATGCTATTCAACTTTATTATATTAATTTTATAAATATTTATATTTGCAAAATTATATAATAAGATCAAATAATATGCTAAATAGTTGTAAATAGTATTCGAATAATGCTATTTAACATATCAAAATTTTATTTTCTACTAGTATAATTAAGTTTGAAAAATTGCTTTCACAATTAATTTTTAATAGATCTGAACTCAAACAATAGTTTTGGTTATAAAAGAGGCCAAAAATATGTAAATTGTAACTAATAAATATGTCTATTTACTTTATTCAATATTGATCAAATATAATATAATTAAATAAAAAAATTTCAGACTCAGTCTAATAAAAAAAAAATCATACTCATACTGTATAATCTCTAAAAGTAAGTTAAACCAACTTCAAAAACTACTGTACTCAAATAAATTGCTTGTTAAATACATATAAACTTGACATATGAACTTTATTTTCTAAGCTCAGAATATATATTCTTACAACATATATTTAAAAAAAGTTTCACCCTAATCTTAATCTAAAGTAGGTATGTAAGTTTTTGCTTAATCATTAAAAGGTTTCAAAACAGAAGTTTTGTCATCTTGCAGGTATTATATAAAAAAATAAAACGAAAGGTTATGTTCGAAGGTGTAATTCTTCTCAGTTTTATTATCTTTCTCGGTTAAAACTAAAAAAAAACAAGAAGTATTTGTATAGTATACTAAACCTTTGTATCTAGCGAGTGCAATTTCCTTTTAAAAACCCTTAAAAATGGTATTTGAAAAGGTGTTAACGTTGCAGTTTACTATCAAATTTTATAGTAAAAAATTTGCCCTCCTGATCTGCATGACAAATCGTGCGACTAATAATTTGTTCATGAATGCTCTTCATTGCATATCACATTGACCCCTCTAGTAGCAAATTACGTGAGAAAATTTAACTAGTTCTGACATATGACTTACTGACTAATTCTGGTAGTTCAATTTGAACCATAATTTAACATATTATACATCGCAACTTTGCATTTCTCTCGAAAAAATGAGAACAATGATCAATTTGTAAATCAATCAAATGTTATATGTATTGCAGTTTTTTTCTCAAAATTTACACAAGAAATTCAATAGTTTATTTGCAAGTTAAACAACGCTTACACTGTAAATTTTTTAAATATAAAGAAATTCCATATTTTATGTTTAATTTAATTGCTTAATAACACATTAATACTTTGATCATTACAAATATCCATTAATTCTCAACCAATTTTCTACATCCATTTTATCACGTGTCAACCATGCAGTATTGACACGAATATTTTCTAAACTTTGTTGTAAAGGTTTTGAAATTTCTTTAGTATTTTTGTTAGAAAAGAATTCTTCAATATCTTTTATGTCAGATTCAGATGAAAAAGAATTAATACTAAATTTAATTATGCTTCTAAACATATAATTAGATTTGGCATATCGGTCATGAAGCTGTTATTAAACAAAAAAATATATAATGTAAATAATTATTTTACGAATAATTGTATAAAGTATTATGAAAAAACATACAGTTTCCCAATTTTCTTTAACAAAATTCCACAGTGGTCTTCGCGCCTTGCGATTGGCTTGCAAGCTATAAATATATAAATAAAGTTTTATATATAAATTAATAAAGTTTTAACCATAAATTATGATATATATATATATATATATATATAAATAGCAATTTAAAGATTCTAATAATAAAGAGTAAACTTCTCACCCAGAGAATGCATAATTAATATTCTGACTCTTAACTTCTTCAGATGTGGAAAATTCCAATACGCGTTTAATTAAATCTTCTTGTTGAGCGAATCCAAGTCCATTTAAAGCAACAAGTCTCTGATCTTCTGTATTAGCTTCACGATATATTTTCAAAATTGCATCAAATTCATTTACTCCACCTCCATTACAAAGCACAATTTCGTAAACAGCTCCACGAATATTAGGATGTAAGGCAGATTTATCATTATTCTTTGTAAATAATTCGAATCTACGAAATGCTTCCTTAATAACTCTAATATGTGAAATATGTATAAATTAATTAGTTTTAAATATATATTACCGTAATAATAAATAGTAAATGAATAAAGCTTACTCTGGAACTTTAGCTCTGCCAGCCATTTTAATTACTAAAGTCCTCAACATAGTAATTAAAAAATCCTCATTTTCAGGATATTCCCAACCCAATTTTGAGATAAATTTTGAAATTAAGTGACGTTGAAACTTTAAAAGTCCTTGGTATACATGTTCAGGTTGTTCAAACCACACACTTAAGAGATTAGTGATTTGAGAATTAATCTGCATCCAAACACTAGAATAAAAAATTCATAAACTTTGAAAAAAAATATATTAAAAATAATTCATATAAAGATAATTTATTGACTTACATAGATTTCTCTTCACAGTCGAATTCATTAATGAGGCTTAATAAACCACTTGTTTTTGCATAACCGCTTACCGCCAAAGCACCAGCATCGGCGATTAACCCAACACGATCAGTTGTATTAAGTAAACCTTTCTTGACAGCGTGGCCCAATTTTACCAATCGTTCTGGAGTATAATTTACACGATAAACTCCAGTTACATGTGAATTAAGTTTATAAAATTCAAATGCACCGTGAGGCAATTTTAATTCTGATTCTTTTGTAGTAAGGACTTTAGATCCAAAATCACCATTAGAAGATAAAGGTCCAAGATCTATTCCAAGTGGCACCCACCAATTTGTTTTATCTTCATCAAGATTAGGTTTTCCAGTTGAAAGAAAACGTGATTGACAAATATGTAATGTATCATGGCCTAATTCAGTAACATTCAAAACTGGATACTATATGATAATATATTATTATATTAGTGTTAATTACATAATTATATTTAAAGGTCAGAAATTTATTTTAATGTACATACTCCAACAACTTTGGTCCAATTTGACATGAACTCGCCGACATCAATTCCACTTTCTTCAGTTAAAGCTTTCCATAAATCATCATTTATGGCATTACTATACTCATGACTCTTCAAATAACGTCTAATTCCTGCTAAGAAAATATCCTCTCCTAAGAAAGAACTCAACATACGTATGACGGATGCACCTTTGTTGTAACTTATTGCGTCAAAAATCTGATGGATTTCACTATTAAATAAGAAATATATATCATTGGTCTAAAGTAATAAAAGTGACAGATGATGCTAAATTTTTTCTTTTAAAACTCTTGGTATTATTAATTTTTAATTTAATTTCTTGTAAGATTAGGAATAAATTTGTATAGGTGATACCTTTAATAAAATTGATTAAATATAATCAATTGATTTACAATAAGTGTCACCTATACCCTAAATTTCAGCATCAGCTAATTTTATTATAAAAAATAAAATAAGTAAATTACGTACCTTGGATCATTTACGGGAACTTCAATAGGATGAGAAGACCTTAAAGAATCAAGTTGAAGTCCGTTTTGAAAAGTATTCGTGACAAATCTATTAAAATACCGGTAACATTTATTTAATCAATAATTTAACAAAATTTTTATATTAATAATAAACATTAAAACTCACTGAGTCCAGATATCCCAATCAGGAAAGAATTTGTCCACAGCAAAGTATCCAATCCAAGTAGCAAAACCTTCTTTAAGCCAAAGATTGTCCCACCTGAGTTCAAATTTATTATTTTATTTAATAATAAAATACTAACAAAATCAATAAATATTATTACTTAAAAATAATATTTAATGATAATTACCATTTCATAGTTACAAGATTACCAAACCACTTACATAATAATATAATTAAGTTAGTATAATGTATGTATCTATTTTTTAAATCAAATATACAGTAATTACCTGATGAGCTAATTCATGGGACACAATGTATGCAATATGTTCCTTGAACTTAGCATCAGATGCTTTAGGATCAAATAATATAGAAGCAGTTCTAAAAGTAACGAGACCCCAGTTTTCCATAGCACCTAAATTTACACACATATTATAGTATAATAATAATAATAATAAAAGATTACAATATATTAAGATAACTTACCACCCTCAAAGTCCGGAATACCAATCATATCACACTTTTGCAGTGGATATGGAATACCAAAGACTGTTGTGTAAAATATAATCAGAATTAAATATACAATTAAATACGTAATATATAATTTTATTGTCAATACCTTCAGCAAAATATTCCAAAGCATTAGCGCCAATATTCAAAGCAAATTGACCAAGTTGTTCACTGCCTTTTGTCGCATAAACGCGAACCAAAACAGGTTTTCCACCGTTATGAATACCAGTAGTAGAAGTCTCAACATAGGCTAAATCACCAACTACAAGTGCGATCAACTTTTTTTTTTTTTTTATAAATAATGAAAATAATGATAAGTTATTTAATGAGTTAAATATAAAATTAGAATGAGTTTGCTCTTATTAGTATAAGGAAAGAACATACATAAGTACTCATAATTGGTGTCGTTGCGAATTTAACTTTCTTTTTACCGTCCTCGAGTGAAGTCTCAGAGATCACATTCATATTACTCAAAGCAGTCAAATCTGACGGAACAATTAAAGTTATATCGAAAGTAGCCTTAATTGCAGGCTCATCCCATGAAGGAAAAGCACGACGAGCTGAGGTTGCTTCAAAATGAGTCGTAGCTAAATATCTAAAAATAATGAAAATCTATAAAATACAAAATTTATATATATATATATATTTTTTAAGAAAATAATTAACATACTTGGTATTTCCAGCTTCATCTTGATATGAACTTCGGTAAAAACCAGCCATTTTATCATTCAATATCCCAGTAAATTCAAGATGTAAAGTAGCTTTAGATCCAGCTGGTAGTTCTTTAGGAAAAGTAAGAGTGACAATCTGCTTTTGAATATCATAATAAATATCTACAGAATTTTGACTAAATCATAGAAACTATTTATTAAAACAAAAAAAAAAAAATTGTATAAAATAGGGAATTTCAATATAAAAATATTAATACCATTGACCGGATATATTTGATAACTTTGCAGAATTAACTTGAATTTCATTCGCGTTAAGAGATATAATATTGGTATTTTGATTGATATTAAGACTATTCGGTATACAGTATTAATTAAATAAATATTATCTAAAAATACAAGTGCACAACATATTTCCAATATCTATACATACTTGACAACCTCAGTCCCTTTAAAAGTAAAGGACTCAAGGTCAGGTGTCAAAGTCAAGTCATAGTGAGTTGGCCTAACATTAGTGGGCAAAATCTGACGTTTTTCTGTATCAGTCATTTTAAAATTTCATGAATTTCAAAAATTGGATATTGAGATAAGAAAAAATAAACTTATATCAATTGTAATGAAATTTTTATTTTTGTATATTAAACGTTGCAGGAGATCGTAAAGAAGACTTTTTTGGAAGTAGCCAGTTTATCAGAAATCCTGAGAAATTTTTAAATGCAAATGTGCAGATCATCCGTTTAATCAGTTTAAATTGCTGATTATCCGGAATTGGTGTACTGCAAAGAACATTTTGTCAAATTACTTATTAAGCGGTTATATGGGAGGTCAAAAACAGAGACCTCGGCTATCATTTAGAATTTAGAAGTAACTTTGATTTAAAATTTCTTCTCAAATTTAAATTATCGATGATAGCTTTTAAAATTAAGATAAAGTTTCGATATTGATTTTATTATTATTATTATTATTATTATTAAATTCCGAGGTGACTGCCCATAGATTAAAAAAAAAAATTCGGACACTGCATTTTTCTATCCTTTCACATCCCTACACGCTAAAGAAGAACTACAAAATCCTAGGATCAATAATGATTGATGAGTTTCTTTTACAATTAATAATTTTAAAAAGTACCCAGCGCTTGGTACCTTTGAGATGACTTGAATAAGAATCTGTTCAAGGATTTTTGGCACGAACCATCTCATAGATCTGAAGATATCTTAAGCATTTCGAATAAAATTGCGTGCTTAAATTTCATTCAAAGTTGTTGGTGGCCCATATAATGCCTTGAAAGTATCTTGAATAAAAAATAGTGACTTTAAGTTTATATAGTCGAAATTTTGTACATTGAATATTTTTACACTTACCGTTACCAGTACTTTTGCCAAACGTATTTGAAGGAACTAGACTAGCGCTAGTATTTAAGTTGTACTAAAGTTTGCGTAACTTGATCTAACAAAAAGACATCTTTCAAATTATCTTGTGGAATAGCTCTAATACCGGTGCTGAGTTAATAAATTTAAAACTATCATATCAACATCTTTTAATATAAAGCCATGAGATAATATAATGTTAATGAATATGATAAAAAATAAATATTATTCAAAACATACATAAAAGATTTAAGAAAGTCAAGGGTTTAAGATATTCAAAATAAACGTTAGTATTTGTTATAACGCTTCTTTTATGACTTGCCTTTGACACCTGACCTTGAGTCCTTTACTTTTAAAGGGACGGA